AGATTTTCCCCCCATGAGGCTGATAAAAACTATAAAACAGGACCACTTGTAATTGTTTAATTAACTTCACAGCTCTGCTCTATTCCCTGTTTTCATTATATTTGAAAATGTTGCTCTGGTCATTAATGTTTGGCAGCACTGTGGGTTCATTAGGTTAATCACACTGCTTGCCATTATTTCACTCCACTTCCTGTAAATCCACAGAGCACACTTGGGAGACTAGATAAAACTTTTATATCTTACTGCCTGTCTCTTCTTTCCAGTCACTGCACATCATAACTAATGCAACACAGACTGCATATGCGACCTGATTTTCTGCAGGATTTCTGCAATCTGTCTATCAGGTTGGTCACGTTAGAATAAGCACACAGGATCTGAATGTTTTGTTCTTTAAAAAACATAAAAAAAAGCTTCAAAATGAACCACAAAAAATATCTATTGGTGCTCCTAAGGAGAAGGCATTTTTTGGAGATGATAATTCCAATATTTTTTAGCCCCTCCCTTCAAACAGAAAGAGAGTCTGATGTTTCATTTCTTAAATATGAATTTCAACAGTATGAGAACAACATTTCCTCTACTTCTGCTCATTTGTAAATAGTTTTTTGGTGTTTAATTTTCTTCATCGCGACCTGCTTTTCTGTTTGGAATATAAATCATCCATCTGTGTCCAAAAAAATGAAAATTGCACAATTTAATCGTATGTAGAAATAACTAACCATCTAAGAGAACGATTTACACTTTTAAACCCTGGGACTGACCAAGTTAAAAGCATGTTAATTTACAGGAATGATTCCAAAATTTGGGCATTTATTCCATCGATCCATCATCTCCCACTTATTCCATCAGGGTTGTGGCTGGGCTGAAGCCTATCTCTGGCAGTCTATGGGCGAAAGGCAGGCTATACCTTGGACATATCATCAATCTGTCACAGTTTAACACAGGGACACACAACCATGCACACACATCCACACACCTAAGGAGAATTTAGAGAAGTCAATTAACCTAACAGTCATGTTAGGTGTATCCAGAGAGAACCCATGCATGCACAGGGAGAACATGTAAACTCCATGCAGAAAGACCCCGGGCCGGGAATCAAACCCGGAACCTTCTTGCTGCAAGGCAACAAAGCTACAAACTTTGCAGGCCTGGGCATTTGTTTAAATTCAAAAATTTAAGTTTGATAAAAAAAAAAAGGGTTCCAGCAGGCAAAAACCTTTAACAAACAAAGTAACTGCAGAGACAAACATGTCTGACCCCTCACTAATTGACACACATATTGATCAGACCATAAGGTCACAATGGGGATAAACAAAGCTCAACAAACAGTTGCACTGTATAGTGAAGTTTAATAAAAGCAATATCCTACAAGAAAAAAAAAATACAAAATATTAAAAATTAAATATGAACTCAGAACACAAACTATACCAACTACTTAAACATAAGTAGTAGGAGCTGGTGGTACAGTTCAAATAAACCTCTTTCAAAAACTTCGAAGCCTAGCAACTATTTTTCTCAGGGCAATCCTCTGTGATCATGAAATGCAACCCTTTGAGGTGTAGCCATGGTTTTCGAGATCACAGTTCAAATTAGGCAAGACAAAGCATGGTGTGATATCAAAAAGGTAAAATAAGATTGAATATAAAGTTTTCCCTTGACAGATCAGTTTCTTGGATGTGAACCGACTCAGCATAAGACCTCACACCTCCAGGTGTCTCATTTACTGTAAAAGCTTTGCTTAGGATCCACACTCAAAGTTTACACAGCCAAAAATCCAAAAATGCCCCCCCAAAATTTAGATTTAGAAAATCATGTCATTATTATTTATATTCAATCTAAAATTATTTTATCAATCCCAAAGGGAAATTTGATGTTGGAATAACTCATTGGCTATTTTTATTTAGTTGTTGTAGAATGTGATAGCAGTAGGCAGGAAGGATATTCATTGGACCCTAAAATATCCTTTGGGTTAGCATCCTGTTAATGTTTTTGCAACAGATCTGGTCCATAGACACTAATATATAGCAGTGTCTATTATCTAAACTTTCTTGCCGCTAGGTTAAGAAGAGAGGAGACTTTACAAACATCTCAACCAATCAGAATTGGGCTGGAAGACGTTTGGACAAGGTTCAACAGATCCATAAAAGTAAAATGACTTACTGTATTACTGCAAAGTCTTTTAAGTGAACCCACGAGTGGAAAGTAAAGAAATTCAACATTTCAATTTAAACTCTGAATTGCAAGCCTTTAAAGAGTGATTATATACACTTTGAAGTCTTGCAAATCAGAGTTTAAAATTATCTAATTACCGGTTATATTTAACACTTTTTACTATATCTCTGAATTAAAGAAAGGTGATATGAACATACTTATCTGATTATCTGAAGGTAATCAGATAACACTTTTAACAAGTGTAAATGTTGTCAATTGATAGTAACACAAAAATGTTTAATATTTGCTTTAAAAAGTTGTTTTGCTTTTATAAAATTCCATTTTATATGTTTATTATAATCTCTTGCTTAACTACATATATGTATGACAAATATTTTTACTTTCTTCACTCACAGAAAGCTTGCTGCATCTCTTGCAACAAATACGTTTAGACTTTAGTCTGAACACTAGAGGTCACTATAGTGTGCAGACAAAGGGGTTGTGATTCAGCAAATACTTAAAGGATCCTACTTTTGGATAGACATGTGTGAGTTAAATTAACAAATACAAATCCTAAACTGAAGAACTTTCAAGGACTTAAAATATATTAAAACTAAATAGAAATGTATACTTTCCATAGAGTTCCTGTTTACCAGCATAAAAAATGTTTTGATACAGATAGTGAAATTGGAGGCCCTTAAAGATCTGACTTGTACCATCAGATCGTAGCTGTTTACACAGCAATCAAACAATGATGCAGTAACACTGCCAATTCCTTTAAATCTTACATTTTAAACCCTTTTAAACATTTTAAGTTTATTAATGCTGAAACCATTAATTCAAATATAAACAAATTCTAGTTTCTGATTTATGTTCTCTGTCCAAATTAAAGCATCTATGGATGGATGGGGTCCATAGGCATAGTTTTCTTAACATAGGGCCAATTCTGCCTCTAAGAACAATTTGATAAATCTAAAGAGCCACATATAAATCTATTCAAAGCAACATTATCGTTTCATCACAAACCACACAACAAAACAGAGTTGAAGTTTTGTCAAAAGCTGTTTATCAACAGTTCTTTCAGGCTGGAAAATTTCCTGCAAAACAAATCCTTCAGAAAAGAGTCCAAAAATCCAGGATGATTGTTAATTTAGTCTCAAATCATCACACAAGTATGAAGTAAATAAATATTATCAGAGGTTTGTTTACAGAGCCTGATGTAACATCCTATACCTCTCATAAGCTGTATGGGTCTCTTACAGCTTGCTTCATTACAAACTCTACTTACTTAATTGATTTTATACAACAGCCTGAACAAATATATTCCACTTGACATTTAATGTCTTCTATAATATCACCACTAGCAACTAGAACCTTAAACTATGTCACATTATAGTCACAAACTTATCTGGATTCAATTAGGTTTTAATGTGATACACCAACATGAAGCTAATATAAAGTGAAATGGAGCACATATGATTCATTAATTAGACTTTTTACAGCTAAAGTTTTGAAAAGTGTGATGTGCATTTGCAGTATGTGTTTGACAGAACTGCCTTTTCCTCCAACTACAGCTGTATTTTTTTAAACGGGATTTCTCTGATAGTTTTGCACATGTAGCTACTGAAAATGGTATCAAATTCTCTTTGTAAAGTGCCTGAGGGTCTGTCAAATTAGACGTGGAGTGTTTGTGAACATCGGCTTTAAAGCTGTACCAACATGTTGGGTTTTGATCTCAACTTTAATCCATATTATAACATAAGTATGTCATTGTAAACCAGTCTATATATGTGGTGTTAATATGCTGCCTGTGTCACATTCTCATGTGTATTTATGATTACCCTGAGTCCTCTAATGATCTCTGTCCAACAATGGCTTGTTAGAAGGCAACAGGAATAAAAGTTGTCAACAAATTCCCCCACCTGAGGTATGAATCCCTGCAGCTCCTCTGGAGTGACCAAGTTACTCCTGACTGCTGCGGTTCTCATGATGTTTTTTTTCCAAAAACCTCTGAGACACTCACAGAACAGCTGGATTAATGCTATGTAATAATAATGCGTTATGTAATAATGTTATGTAATAATACCTTTTTTATTCAAGAGAGTTGGTTGAACTAATTTTAATTAGGGGGATCAGAGTAAATGAGTGGAGCACAAACACATGACAACCATTCTTTAGATTTCGGTTTGTGAAACATTATTTCTCTTTACAATTTTATTCAGATTTCATTTAGTTTATGACATAAACATTAAACAAAAACACTTTGAGTTGCAAATGACAAAATGTTGGGAGTTTTAAAGGGCAAAATTTCTGCTTTGTTTACAACGTCTGTAAAGTTCTTCAAAATGAAATTGTGCAACTGTAATGTTTTCTCATTTGTGTCCACAATAGAATCCACACAGGAAAGCATGATTTCATGCAGGATGTCTCTTCTCTTCCCCTCTAGAGTGTTCTTCCTGCAGTTTTTCCCATGCCATTGTTAACAGTTTTAATGATTTTGTTTACTTTTAGCCGAAGAAGGAGCGGGGTTTCATAAAAAGATACAGGAAACCTGACCTTCAACACCCAACGTAGATCTGCTTATGCTTTTTTATATTACTCACTAATTCAAATAACACAGACACACACACCTCATAATGTACAGTTTAGCATTTTTGTGGGTTATAGGGTTCGGTGAAGCAGGAATTTTTGCTCAGCCTTCAGTGATCAAACGAGCCAAGAAAAGAATATCTAAGGCCCGCCTCAACTTCCTGACCATGTGACGTCTGAGTTGGGGGAAAGAGGGGGGCACTGAGATCCCCTCTCTATCTGTTGCTGTGATTGAGGCTACTTATCCACCGCCCACTTTATTTTCCCAGTAGTCAACAGGAAGGCTGCAGGCCAGACAGAGTGGTCGCAGTCTGCAGGAGAGGAGGAACGACCAGGTTCCAGCTGCACACTCAGAACAAAGGAGCACAGTAAAGCCGAAGGAATGAGTAATAACCAGCAAGAAGTGAAGAAAGTCCAGACGATATATCTACAAAACTTGGAAAGACTTAACAAAGGACAAAGGTCTGATAAAAAGGGCTGGAACTCCAAAGAAGATTTTGCTATTCAAGCAACAATGGAAAAGATCCGACCTTCTCCCATAGCAGGACAAGTTGCCAAAAGTTCAGCTAACAGAATCAGTAGAGATCTGACTTGCTCCATATGCTTAGATCTTTTCAAACAACCTGTTTCCCTGCCATGTGATCACACTTTCTGTCAGGGCTGCATTGATGGGTACTGGACAGGGCCACGGGGCTCTGGACAGGGGGGCACAGGCTCCTGTCCTCAATGCAGGAAGATGTACTCAGGGAAGAGCTACCGACCCAACCGCATCGTGGCCAACATTGTGGAGAGTTACTGTCATGGATTGGAGGAGAGCAGGAGTGAAGGATGCCTGACCGATGGAGGATGCGCAGAAAGGGCTCCTGCTCCTGCTCCAGCCCCACGCTGCATAAGACACAGGGAGGAATTGAAGCTTTACTGCGAGGAAGACCAGGAGCTGGTGTGTTTGGTGTGTGGCTTGTCTCAGGAACACAGAAATCACACTATGATATGTGTTCAGGAGGCTGAGCAGAAATACAGGGTGAGTTTGGTTACCTGCCTATCTGCAGGAGACAATTTAGCTTAATATATTTTTCAAGTTTTCTGATTTAGCATGCTGAATTGCCTTGCAACTGAAATGTGCTGTATAAATAAACTTGGCTTGCTTTGCCTGGTAAGGTAAGGAGTCAGGAATATAAGTAATCAATTTGGTTGCAAATAGTGTAGTTTCTTTTCACTCAGGTTTGCAGGGTGGATTTATCAGATGTTGTTTTCCACAAAAGCCATTCAAAGTTGTGAAATTGTGTTTGCAGTGAGTCACAGTTCAGTTATTTTGTGTTTCTGCTCTAAACAGGGATTTCTTAACAGCTCAATGGATTCCTTAAAAGCTGAGCTGAACACAGCGCTGCAGTGTGACAAGGAGGCTGAGGAAGAAGTCAAAAAGCTCAAGGTGGGATTAAACACATCTATCAAGAAATACTTTAAATACTTACAGCATTATGAATTCTGAAGTGTTTATTTCCTCCAGTGTCCCCTGCCCTGGGCCAGCATTGGGTGGCCAGTGTGCGATCAGTTTATTTTAAGCATCTAAAAAAAAAACTATATAAACATGCAATATAAAATCTCAAATTGCCTCTCAAAGCTTCTGTTCTCCGTGTAGATCATTCCAATGTAAGTTTGTCCAAGTAACCCCTCAAAGTGTTTGCCTTTCTGTTTTCACTAAAAACACCCTTTTAGTTTGGCACTAAATTCCCTTTCAGTTTGACACTAATAGGTTGTGTCAAAACGTCCGCCCTAACCCCACAATCACTATACAGAATGGGACAATATGGTGAACTCAGTTAACTGATTGTGCAGAAAAATGATCACTACTTTTGGCTCCCCATTGGACTCAAGGCTTCCTGTCTGGGACATCTTTGTCTCTCACCCCCCCAAAACAAATTCCACGATTCTTTGTGAGAAGAACTGTTGCAAAGCATTCTGGTATACATCTTCTCACCTTGTGACCAACAATGTACACTACTTTTCAATGTTTAATGTGGTAAATTTCAAGTCCACTACTTTTTCATCCACTAGACGCTCATACAAAAAGATCCACCCTAACCACTAGATTCCTCAATCACTATATAGGGCGGGGACTATATAGTGGACTTTATATTGAAGTCAGTAACTTGACCATTCAGACAGATGATCATTATCTTTTGCTCCCCGGTCACGTAACTCCGCCTCCACCACGTTGTGCCTGCGCCATCTTTGTTGTGACAGCAAATCCCATAATGCTTTGCACGGACAGCTCTCTGCGGAAAGAATTCCGGGATATACAATATCTTGTCATCTAATGACCATGGATGATCACTACTTTTTAAGGTGCATTGTGGAAGGTTTCGAGTCCACTACTTTTTCATCCACTAAACATTCGGACATTCATTAAAAATGGCGTAACCACTACATAGTGCCCTAAATAGTGATTATTTGGACATTTGGACACAGCCATAGTCTCCAAAATTGATGCTAATGCAATATTAGAAGCTAACATGTTTTCAGTCGCTCTTTTGTTTTTGTATTTAAAGATGATTGTTTGTGTTAGTAAAATACTATGGATTTGGATAAAATGCTTCTTTGATGCTTATATAAGACCAAGTGCTGTCAGTCAACTTTTCAGAAGTCTTTTTTTTAGCTGTTAAGGAAAGTTCTAAGTTTACACCTTGAATCTTTCTCTCTCCAGTTCTTTTCCTGAGAAGAAATCACTCAGGACAAACTCTTTAAATAACACTTCATAATGTATATGTATTAAATAACCATGAGACAAGACAACAGATTTTGACAGAAATTGTAATCTTACTCAGATCAGAGTGCTTAGAGTTACAAAAGGCAGCTCTTACCACCCGTGAAGTGACACTCCAGTATGCCACATCATCACATCATTACATCATATACGTTTGCAGATGAGGAGACATCCATGGCTCAAGTTTTATCAAAATATTACACCTTGTTCTTAGATCAAGGACACTGCTCTCATTAAATTCCCAGATCTTTGCCACGTGCATAATGAAGATGGCCTTTTGACCTTTGTCCTAATTAGATTAACTACTTGGGAAAACATTAGTTATGACACACAACATGCAGGCATTAGGGTGTAACAGACTCATACATCATTATTGGTAATAATTGTAACATAGCCAATGGGCTATATTAGTTGTTTCAAAGATTTTATATCTTTTCCAAATGAAATGTGTTTTTCAGAAACAATCATCTCATTTTTGTGTATTTCTAAAAATGTTTTTCATAGAAACTTCATAGTTTGTTGACAGTTTGTAAAGTGTTTCCCACCCACATCCATTGCCTCTAACCCCAGGAGCACACTGCCGATCTGAAGCAGCGCATTGAGGCACAGTTCAGTGACCTCCACCAGTTCCTGTACCAGGAGGAAAAGCTGCTACAGGTAAAGCTGAAGACGGAGGAGCGCAGGGAGCTGATCCGCCTGGATGAGCACAAGGCGCTGCTGTGTGTGGAGATCTCCCGTCTGCAGAGGGCCGTCCATGAGATAGAGGACAAACTCAAAGAGCAGGACGCTTACACTCTGCTCCGTGTAAGTTCAGCTCTGTGAAAAATGAGTGTAGATCAACTCATCTGGAAGTTATTACCAGAATGATGAGTTAGCAGTGAGGATGATTATTGAGAAAAAATGTTGAGCAAAGGTTTTTTAAATCTGTTTTTGCGGAGGAGGTGGAACCAGAAGGAATTCCATTTAGCCAGAAGATGTCACATATTTAACAGACTCTAACATTTACAGATTTTACTTACGCCTTATAGATATTCTATGATATCAAAACGAAACCATTTGGTAATGTCAGCAATATGGTTGGAACATTTAAAAACAAAAGACTCCATCTCTCAGGGAATTAAGACAGGATGCAGACAAGTAATCTTGCTCCTTCATCTGGAGAAGTTAAGCTCAGGCACTTTGCCACATTATCTCTGGCTTCAGCTGCGGGACTTTCCCGGGGCCACAGAGAGATCCCGCAGGGTGGGACAGCATGAGCCCAGACGTTGATGTAATGTGGAAAAAGGATTTCTCCTTATTCAAATCCAACAAACTAATTATCGTTCTCTGTGTGTGTGTCTCTTCCTGTGTTTATTCCTGCCTATCGTGTTAGAGCATCAAAGCCCTGCTCCAGAGGTGAGTGTGAGAAATCTTAGGGTATGATTTCCTTTGGAAAGATGTGTTCTCATTTCCCTTCATCATTTGATGTTGTTGGCAGACCTTCTGTCAAGTTTGAGAAACCAACCTTGACTCCACCGAGTTTATGTGAGGGCCGCTTTGCGGGGCCTCTGCAGTACAGAGTTTGGAAATCTATGAAGGGCAGCCTTTACCCAGGTAATAATTTAACACTTTGACTCCTTAAATACTGAGGTCCACATATATCAGTCTTAAAAAGCTAAACTAACACTGTCTTTAAAAGTATTTATATCTCTTATGCTTTCTTTAGATTACAACAATGAGCTTCAATGTTTTTATTGGTATTTTGTGTGAAAGATCAGTTCAATGAACTGATTGTAAAATTGAAGAAAAAAAAATATTTACAAACAAAAAAAATGAATGTGTGCACTCCTATTCAATTTAACCTCTGTACTCTCAAACACAGTTATCTCAAAGGCAACGTTAGTAATTTAATCTCAAGATAGATAACGCTGCCCTTTGAAGGCCTCAGATGCTTGGTCATGATGAATGTGTTGGCAGCATCATTAGAGCCTTTTACCATCTTCTCTCAGAAGTTGGATTTTCTTTGATATCCTAATGTTTCTAATGTGAAAAATAAAATATCAATGTCTAAAATTCTAATTAGAAAGTCAGAACTTACAAAAGATATAACTTACCGAGTTTAGCATCCAGAATATATGTAAGAAGTATGTAATTGGGTTCAAATGGGCTTATGATTGAAAGGGTTAAAGATAGAGAAATCTTACAATATTAACTGTAAATATTTTCTTTTGGTGAAAATGTGAAATAAGGGGAAATACTGTGTTTCCAAGATAGGAAATTTGAGTTATGGGTGTGACGGCATTCCTAGCTCCAACTTCTGAGACAAATTAGACACAGCATTAGAGTAGATGGAAAGCTGGACAGCTATTGTAGAGGAAAACCTGCCAAATGGCTGTAGTTGCAGTCCACATGCATGACACTAGCTCTAAACATTCGGTCAGGCAAACGAAAAGTTTAAATCAAAGAAGACCCAAACGAGAAATTACCCAGTCATATTACAGTCCCACATTAAATAGAACATTTATGGCAAGACATGAACAATTCTATTCACAGTTGGTCCCCATCCAGCTAGTCTGACAATTACATGCCACACTTTTCAGATTTCCCTTTTCCTTTTGCTTCCAAATTCTGCTCTATTATGTTTTTATATATTATATAAAATTCTAAACGCATCACATTAAAGTTTGTTGTAGCCTGACAAGATTTGACAAGGTTCTAAATAAAAAAAATCTCCTTCTGCTTAGTTCCAGCAGCTATTACGTTTAACTCCAGTACTGCCAACCCGTGGCTCAGCCTGAGTTCCTCCCTCACCTGTGTCCGATACCAGACGTTCAACTATACTGTGAAGGACAACCCCAACAGGTTCAACGCCGCTCTGTCTCTGCTCGCAAGTCAGGGCTTCACTCACGGGCGCCACTACTGGGAGATTGAGGTCTACAGCAGCACCGTGTGGACGGTGGGGGTAGCCCGGGAGTCGGTTCCCAGAAAAGGAGTCATCAAGGCACTCCCAGCTAACGGATTCTGGACTCTCACTCTCTCATATGGTGTTAGGTACATGGCCGGCACATCCCCTCCGACTGTCCTCTCCCTGGAAGAGCCACTGGCCCGGATTGGCGTCTACCTGGATTACAAGCGGGGCCTGGTGTCCTTTTACAATGCAGAGAGCATGACCCATCTCTACACGTTCAGAGAGACCTTCACTGAGACTCTGTACCCGTACTTTAACCTCGGCTTTCTGGATAAAGTCCATGAAAATGAGCCTCTCAAAGTTTTCTTACCAAAGATCTAAACACAGAAGAGTAAGCAAGCAAGCAGGTCTAAAGTTAAACATAAGAAAAATGGTTTCTAAGGGTTTACAACAATGTGCAAAGTCATGAGCCAAAGCTTGTTTATTCATATTTGTTTCCAGGAAGACTGACTTTCTTGAAAACCTTTAAAGTGCTGCTCACATTCTTTTGGCTTTTCTCAATTATTTCGTTAAACTTAAGAAATGCCATTAAAAACAACAGTTTATAGTAATTCAGCATCAGTAACATGTAAAGTTGTTGATCGACTAAAAGGTGATGCACAGCTGAGTATGAGTCAAGATTTTTTTTTCCAGATTTAAGAAACTTTGTATTGATTAATGGTTGCTAATTAAGCAAATATGGATCAATCATCAATTGTCTTATTTGTACATAAAATAAAAAAATAGATAGCCAAAGCCTAAACGAAAAGATCTCCAGAATTCTAACAAACTAATGATCAAAGACAAGTGTAATAAGCAGGTTTGGCTCCTTAGAACAGTTTGGCTCCTTAGAACATTATTTATTTAATTCAGGTGTGGATTTAAACTGTATATATAATTTGTTTTATATTATAAAAAACAAAAGCTTTGCAATTTCCATTGTGTATCCAAAAATACAGTTAGTCATATATGGTGTATCCTAAGTAGCATTTTGGGAAACATATGGTTTAGTGTATACTTTATGTTGGTGGCATGCACTTGCGACCCAACTGTTGAAAAACGCTAGCTATTGGAAGCCATCTTGGAAAACCAAGAATGGATGCTTAAAGTGCCAGTTTGGAAACCAACGCCTGGGCTAAATTGCCCTCTTGGAAGCCAAAACAGTGCTAAACTGCACCCTCGAGAGCTAAAGCACCCTCTTGGAGCTAGAAACGCATACAAAATTGCCCACTTGAGAGCTAATATCTGTGTTTAAGCATTCCCTTGGAAGCCAAAACAAGTGCTAAAGTCTGTTCTCAGAAGCCTAAACGTGTTCTAAAGTGACCTCTCGAGCACAAAAATGTCTGCTAAAGTGCCCTCTTGGAAGCAAAAAAACATGGTGAAGTGCTCCCTTGGAAGCCAAAACCCGCGCTGAAGTTCCTTCTTGGGACCAAAAATTTGTGCTAAAGTGATTTCTCTGGAACCAAAACGCATGCTCCCTACTTGGAAGCCAAAATGTGTGCACTGTCGGAAGCCAAAAACGCATGCTAAAATGCCCTCTCGGGAGCCAAAATGCACACTAAATTGCTGTTTGGAAAGCACACATGCTTAAGTGCTAAAGAGTCAAAATGTTTGCTAAAGCCGGGCATACGCTGCAATTTTTTTCAATCGTTGCATGCAGCTACAGCTCACGCTGTACGAAAACCGCAGGGTTTCTTGGTACAGTGTGGGTTCACAGCTCACAATGCATGTTTGACCCGACGTTCTGATGCGATCTACCTGCTCACACTTTACGTCTAAAAACTAAGCAACGCGATGACATGGTGCTACTCGGACTCGTCTATCCAGAAGCCAAACCAGTAGAAGAGGAATATGAAGCTCACCATAGTGACACATGCTGCCTTGGCAATTTTGTGCTGAAAACCCTAAGAAGAAAAGGCGGCAAAGTATTGGACAAAGACATGGCTGAGCAAACGTGGCTACTACGGTCTGTCAATCTTACAGAAAGAGCTCCATTTCACTCGCATCCCTGCCATGCTTCTGTGTTTTCTTCTTAGAGGAAGAAGAAGAAGAAGAGTGTTTCTGCATGCCCACTGAGTGATTAGCCCATGATGGTTGAATGAAAATCAAACATGTTTGATTTTTTCCCGACCACCCAATCAGGAATCGGTTGTGAAAGGTTGTAAAAGGCTGATCGTCCCTCATTACCCCTGTACACTACACTATGCACAATCAGGCTAAAAGTCAGGCCGATCGGAAAATTCATGCATGACTGGAAAGCAAAAAAATTTGCAGTGTAAGCCCGGCTTAAAGCTCCCTCTTGGAAGCCAAAACGTATGCTGAAGTGTCCACTTAAAGGAAAAAAAATATGCCAAAGTCCCCTCTTAGGAGCCAGAACATATGCTAAAGGACCCTCTTGGAAGCCAAACCGGGCACTAAAGTGCCCTCTTTGCACCTAAAATGTGTGCTAAAGTACCCAATTGGAAGCCAAAATGTATGCTAAAGTGTCCTATCGGGAACAAAGGCGCGGGCTAAACTGCCACCTATCTGAGGTTTATAAATATATGTGCTTTTTTTTCTGCCCTGCGCTTTAAATATCTGTGCACCGCATTGTTTTTTGTACTATGTTTTGTCTGAGAAGCTGTGCTTTAATGATGACACCATACTTGTATATTTACTTAATTGAGGTGAAATGAAAAAGTCTTTAACCTGCTAATTTGTATGGTATTTTTTAAGATTTTTTTTATTCTTTATCACTAAAAACACATACTTTTACCCTCATGACTGGCTTGGTGGTTTTAATTATACACTGTGAAGCACTTTCATCTTAACTGAAGCTAAAGGAATAACTGGTCAGGGGAAAAAAAAGTCAACAAGGGCCTGTTTACAGTTGAGGAAACACCACTTATGTTCCCACACCCTAAACAACAGCATTCAACAAAATGTAGGTATTTAAAGTTGTTTATTTAAAGTTTATTACATATATCCATTAAAAAAGTACATTTATTTTGCAATTTTATCCTCATCAATGATAAATTTTTTTGATAAAATTTCAAATATTAACCCTTTAATGTGGTCAAACCTAATGCAATTATATACCAAGGTTTATATTTTAGACAAGGTTAAAAAAAAAAAAAAACATCTTATTGGCAAATAAGAGGAGAAAGGTGTGGAGGTGGGAGAAGACTAAATGCCAAGCTTCTTATAAATTAAGCCATTTAATCCTTCTCTCAAAGTTTATAAACTTAAATTGACCTACAAAACACACACTGATTGTGATCAGACTCTCCATTTTCCAAACTGACTTCTTGCCTCCAACTACTGTAGTGTGTTCACTGATTGACCACATGATGTGCAGATCAAATATTTAAATAGAAAATATGTGCATGGAATCACCAAATCCATTTTAAAACATGTTGCTCTGTGAGTAAACAGAACTATACCTGCTGCCTAGTCAGGCTAAAAGAAGATCACAGTTTCTTTGTTTTACTTCCGTGATCAGAAATTGGTTAATTGAAGTTTGACCATGTGGGAGTGTATTTTCCCCAAATTGGATGTGTTATACTTTGCCATTTTCTCATTTCCTGTCTGATTTGTGGATTGTCCTTTAAAATGCTTCATAGATCCAACTAAATGAGACTCCAGGTAACTCAAATAGACCCCCTGATCTATCTGAACCACCAATAAGGGCTTCGCCTCTGGAGTACCAAAGGATGGTACTACTCCAAATATGGAATCTAGCTAAGAAGATGGAACCTGGTAAAATGTGTCTTTATTCTGTTGATGTTTAATATGTCTCTATACCTTGCCTTTAAATAAGTAAATGAATAAATAAGGTAAAAATGGAAATACATCAACAGAATATTTTTCAAACCTATACTTCGGTTTTCCTTTTTTTTCCACTTTACTATAAAGACAATCTCTAGTTGATATTTTTCTTAATCATTTCATGTGAATCAATAACTAATTTCATAAAAAAAAAAAAAAAAAAAATCATTTGTGTAACCCATTCAGTCAAGCCGGAGCCTCCTCCTCACTTATCGCCATCTTTGTTAAATTTTTAGCTTAAACTGTTTTCCTGTTTCTGTGCGCTGCAAAAATGAAGCAACACAGAAGAAAGTTATCTCAGCCACTTTTTAAAATGGGAAAGACAATAAACCATACAGATTAGTAAGGGAGATTTGTGTTGATATTCATAAATCAGGTAATAGCTACAAAAAAAGGTAACTCACTAGCAGGTGCATGTGTTTACAGTGAGAAAAAAACTGTGAACAAGTATAAGAAAACTGAAAGGGTGGCAAACAACAAACAAAATGATCCCCAAGTCTCCGCAGGAACGCTTTATTTAGAAAATGTTGTGTTCACATCATTAGGGCATCATTTATTTAAGATGCCATTACAATGAACGTTATACACTGGAAACATCCTGCAGAGCATTTATACTGATTGTTGATCAGAATTAGCCATTTCCAGCTATATTTCTTTTTTTAACTGCAGACCTCATAAAAACTTTTTAGAAGTATTTGCTTGTTTGCAATCAACACATGTAAAATTCTGGAATTGCATTCCTTTCTAAAGCTTCACGTCTCCTTTTTAACTTGCTGCAGTTGATGTCAGAGCACAACTAGAAAAGAGAACTGAAATTTTCAGCAAAAAAATGTCTAAATAGTTGTGATATTAAATATCAATAAAATGCGTTTCACCTTGGGCGTCCCAGTTTCTTTTGTACATGGTATCCATTGAACACATTAAAACAAATAAAGAAAAAACAACAACAACAACAACATTTAGGAAGACAGCATAGTTCTTCCATTAGGAAATGCAAATATACTGAATAACACATTTTTCCAAGCTGACTCTTTCCATCCTTTAATTGTTTTTTAAAGTCTTGGCTAATAGCAACTTATATTTTAATATTAATCCAGTGTGTTTCTATAATATGTTTATAAATGGAAATGATTTCCTCATCTCTGATAAAACTAAACCGCTCTGAAAGTGAAGGCAGGAAGATTTTTCTGTATGGTTTCAATTAACATTACAGATGTAAAATATGTGGGGTGGTATTTGTGGTACAAAGCCCAGAATTTACTAGTCGCCTGGAAATGGGTGTGACCCAGATGGGAGTTTGTGATTTGGCCTAACTGCTGGTGTGTAACGTGTCCTGGAACTTTGTACTGGTGTAGCGTGCATGAAAGCCTTTTTTACTGATGCTGTCGTCTGAGTGGAACTTTAACAGAATGGCATCTCCGGCTGAATAGACATCCTCTGGAGCCTGAGGGAACAGAGAAACACACACACGTCATTTTTAGAGACACTTATGCTACTGAACTGCATCAAGAACATTATAAAAGTTCGTACCCCCGATCCACAGTATCGCCCCAGTCTGGGAGACTTTATGTCAGCGCCGTCGTACAACTCTAGATAATCATAGCCACAGTCTGCCTCTTCTTCAATCTCAAACACTTGAAAGATGATCTCAACTCCGTAACCCTTCTCGGCGGTGAGCACCCACAAACAGTCGAAGCCTCCAGGGTAGTTGTTATCTCCAAACTGTGCATGAGAGTACAGGTCTTTTGTCCTGACCTCTGCTTTAAGGTTTCCTCCACATTCTGGGAATCCACAACCACAAAATTAGAGGGTCAAGAAGAGTGGCTCATAAAAGTGTGGAAAGAATGCAGAAAACACTTGAAATGTAACATTTCTGGCAACTCATTCCCCAGCTACAATTGGCAATTTCAGTCCTTTTTATTAGACTCTCTTTTGAGAGTAGTACAGACAAAGCATTTTTCTAAGGAAAATAAACTAAATTTTACTCTCTGCCAGTATCTTCTTTAGTTTCTCCAGAGTTTTGGTTTAGAGCGTAATGCTCGGCACTTAAGCAGCAATATTTGTTATGAAATGGCCACTGAGGGGGGTGCTTTTGAAGGTCATTGGAGTGTCTTGACCCTAAGTTTACAATCTGTGTCCAAATCTAGTCAGGCTTGGGGGTGCAAATGCATTGCAAACACAAAAAGTACTGCAATTTTAAAAAAGAGGCTTTCAAAACACAGACTAAAAGTCATACGAAGGAAAATCGCTGCAAAAGTGAACCGCTGTGATTACAGAAAATGCAAAAGTACTGCAACTACATAAACGAGCTGCATTCACAAAACACTGCAAAAAAGAAATTGAATAAAAATACAAGACATGTGCCAGACTTTTAGTAATTTCATAAACAGGTTGTATGCGTATTTGGATGTGTTTTAGCTTCCTTTGTGTGGCTCTAATCTCTTAATAGGTGACCTCTGAAGGCTTTTTTGAACAGGTGTGTGTTTGGGGTATTGGGGAATGGTATGCATACTGTTTTGATCTGTTGCAGAAAGTTCCAAAACTTTATTTGCAGTTTATGGTTGCATTCTTATAAAATGGTACAAAGTTAAGGGGGTATCAATACTTGAAATGAATACTTGAAAGGCTCTGTAACCTTTATTCTCTCCTTTATTCCTGTTTTTTATCTACCGGTAATTAATCCTAATCTCAGACTACCGGTAATCTGTTAGTTTCAAACTACATGTTATACAATGAAAATAGAATAAGCTGATTTGAACTTTGCCCACCTGTGTTGTATGAAGCCTCAAAACCTCTCTTTTGCACAGAGTTGTCAGAGAAAAACCTCAGGAACATTTTGCTGCTGCTGGATAAAATTGGAGCAGGCAGTTTGTTGCCACAAAAGTGTCCCAACGTAGGCGCACGAACATCTTCGCCATCAAAGATCTCCAGATGGTCGTAGGCACACTCTAGATGAGCCTCCATGTCGACCTCATTAAAAATCTGACAGGGAGATTTTGAAACAAGTTATAAAATGCAGGTATCATTCTGCTGGTACAGTATCAGTATGTCTGGCTCATAACCTACGAGTTTGATCCGGTGGCCTGGCGTCGTGGACAGAGACCAGGTGCAGGCCTTCTTACTGGGATAATTGTCAGGCCAGTTGGGACTGCTGATTGTGCCGGATATGGTGTTTACAAAGTGATCACACCCAGCTAAACCAAAATAAAACATCACATCATGTAGAAACAAGGAAGTTACCTAATTTCCGACAACAAAAATTCCTTCCACCAGAAGAGCCACATTATCACACAGTAATGGGAAAAACTAACAGCACCTCAGCATTAAACAGCTAATAAAAGCTTCTTTAGCAGTAATAAGCTTAAGTGGTTATTTTCTGTATGACTTAAACTCTCATTTTATTGCAAATTATTTTTAAGAGAGAGTTTTCCTTAGTTTATTGAGGTTTACTAGTATTTTTATATGCACACCTCATTTAGGCTGCCGGAACTTCTCCAGAACCATTAAAATTGTGTTTTTTGCATTCAAGAATAATGAATGAATGAATCTGAAGAAAGAATTTCATCTGGTATGATGCTGATTAGACATAACTGATGTGGGTAGTATTTAAGCAGTTTTTTTCTGTCTCTAATACTTAGATTGTTTGATTGATGCTGATGTTGTGTAACAGGGTTTTTCAGAATCAAATTCTAACCTAAGCATCTTTCCACTCTTTTATGGACC